CAGGTGGGAGTGAAATCTGGGCAGGGAGCTGTGATGCAACCGGCATCCAAGAGCATGACGGCTTGCACGGGTGAAACACCCCGCCGCCATGCACTGAGCGTTGGTGCGTACACAAGCCCCCCCTTGGATTCCAGCCCTGAAAAGGAACAGGATGCTGCACATGTGGCTCCTGAGGCCCAGTGTGCTTTCGTTTCAGCGGCTAACACAGCCGCAGCACACCGGGCCGCAGTGCTTGCATGCATTGCAAGTGCACATGTACCCGGCAACATTTGCACACATGGGTGGCATGGATACGGCTGAAACAGCCTGCGCACCACAGTGAAATGCATACAGTGTGCATGTGCATTGGACCTAATGGGGAGCCGATTTTTTTTCACGCGGCACCCGCCCTGAGAAACTGACAAACGCAAGCAAAGCATGGCCAACCATGTGACAGGCGGCACCAGGCAGGCAAGAGGCAGTGCTAGTCCTGAACATACTGGCTGCTGGTACGTGGGTGCAGCAGCTCAAACATCACCCGACCAACCCCCACATGAGGCAGTGTGCATTTCATGCGCGCCGGCAGAGGCCAAAGCCGCGCGCCAGGGCTGCCTTGGCCCAGCCGAGTGCGCGCTGCGGGCGCGAGCAGGGGCCGCCGGGCGCGGCGGCGCGGCGGCCGCTGCTCGCTGCACAGACGGGCTCGAGCTCGGCTTGCGCCCCCTCACCTCCATCCAGGTTGCCGTCGGGCTTGGGCCCGCGGCGCACGATGATCGCCGGCGTCCCCGCGTCCGGGCTGTCGCCGCCCTGCTGCTGGTCCCCGTCCCTGCCGCCGCTGGGGCCCTGCGCCGCGTACTCGTTCTCGTCATCGCCGCAGTCGGCGCTGAGGTGCTCCCCGAGCGGGAAGCTGCGCAGCACCTGCTGCGCCACCTCGCGCTGTCGCGCCACCAGCAGGGCCGGCCCCACCTCAGCGGCGACCAGCGCCGTGCCGCACACCGCTGCCACGCCCCGCAGGGCTGCGCCGCGCGCGGGCGCGGCGAGCTCGCGGCACGCCAGGCGCGCCGCCGCCCTCGCCGCGATGGCGTCGGCCTGGCGCAGCGCCTCGTCGGTGGCGGCGCACGCGCGCTGCACGGCCTCAGCGCGCCGCACAACCCCAGAGGCGAGCGCGTCGCGGCTGGCGGCGCAGAGGTTGGTGGTGTGCCGGCTCATGCACACGAACTGTTGGACGGCGTTGTAAACGCTGCCGCTCACAAACCCCATGCACTTGGGGTCTGCGTTGTTGATCGTGGCCAGATGCCCCTCCAGCCCGTCGGCGTGGAGGGTCGCGACCACAGTGGCGAGCAGGCCCATGACCTGCGCGTCGGAGGCGCACTGTGTGCGCAGCGTCGGTGCCTCGCGCGGGTGCCGCGGGCGCGGCGGCAGCCAGGCGGACGCTGCGGCCGGCAGCGTCCTGCGCGCCGCCAGCACCGCCGCCAGCTGCGCCTCGTCGCCGCCGCAGCTGGTGGCCATGGCATCGCCGAGCATGGCGGTGGCGGCGCTGAGGCGCGCCAGCGAGGCCCGTTCTGCGCCCGGCAGCAGCCCGCCGGTCTTGTTCACCCACTTCATCTGCTCTGTAGCCTTCACCCGCAGGCTGCGGGCGGACAGGCCATCGGCATCGCAGGCGAGGTTATTGACATCCGCCGCCCAGGTCTTGCCGTCGCGGAGGGCCGCGGCGGGGCCGAGGTCGGCCTTGCGCAGGGGGCCGTAGCGCGCCCACGCGGGCGGCGTGGGGGCGTCGGCGGCAGTGCTGTGGCTGTGGCTGCTGATGCTGGTGACGGTCTTGGTGGTGTTGGGGTTGGTCTTGTTGGCGGCCGAGGAGATGTCGGCGGCGGTCGGCGCGGGGTCGGCCTCACGGGCCTTGGACGGCGACGTGGTCACGATGGCGACGCGCGCGCGCCTGGGGCGGCACGCCGGGACGACGGCGTGGAGGTGGTGTGCCTGCAGCAGGCCGGGATGGTGCGGGGTAGCGAGGGCGAGGGAGGAGTTGGTTGAACTGATGCAGCTAAAGTGAGAGCGGCTGCTGTTGCGAGGTGAAGCGCTTTGCTGTGGCCCCTTGCTGGTGCTGCGTCGCGGCCCACGAGACGAAAGAGGCATCGGATCACTTGTGTTGGCCTTTCAAGGTCGAGGAATCAACATACACACATGGCCCTGCGCACCATCGCTGCTGGCGGGGCCGCGGCGCGCATGGTCAACATGCAGGTGCCAGGTGCTGCAGCGGCGCTCGCTGCTGCACTGCTGCACGCCCGTCCCCGCCGCACCTGCACGAGAGACTTCCTGCAGCAGCAGCTGGAAGACGAGTTCATGATGTAATATTCTTAATCCTGTCGCCAGAACGGTTGACAAGAGCTTGAATGAATGGATGCAGAAGTCAAGGCGTGATAACGGAAGACGAAAACGGCCACGCGAAGGTCAAATATATGCGCAATAATACTTCTGGTCGTCATTACACATGCCGGTGGTGCTCCACGGTCTTACCTGGTGCGGTGCGGTCGTCTACTAGCTCTAGATCGACGACCGAGTTGTCTGTACTGTAGAGCAAAACATACAAACATCCATGTAACCCCAATTATGAATATCATTGACTTTCATAACCTCCCAAGTGTTTGATTTCACCCTCCCAAGTGTGCACCACCAGCCTGCGCATTCGCAGCAGCTGCTCACCAGTGTCAGGTGCTGGCGCAGACGGTGCGATACGTGCTTGTCCTCCTGTGTGTGCACACGCCACCAAAAGCATGACTGATCAGCACGTAGGTCTCACATTTAGCTGACCTTTTGCCGCTGCACCCACCATCAGTGCTTGAGAGTGTTGCTGATGAAGATGCTGTCTGTGCAATGATACAGCATCTTCATCCTCAAAACCCGGCAGCCTGTGCATTCTCTCATGCCAAGTTGGTCGGCATGCTCCCCAAGGTTGCGACTGTCCATTGGGCGACACGTTTTGGCAAACACAACAACCCCAGGGCGGGCCCCTCCAGCCCAGGCGCCTGCTTGCTTGCTGCATGAACGTGGTCGAGATAATTACAAATTGCCACACACCACAATTGTGCTGGTTGGTTGTACAAATTACCTTGTCCGATCTGTTGCTTTACAGGCTGGCCCCCTCCCCGGCCTTGGAACGGACACTTGCTCCCACTCAGAATTTCACGCAGCCGTTCTGTCCTTGTGGGGGGCGTCGGTATCATCACGCTGTTTCAATTGACAATACTATTGCCCGCAACAGAGCCTTGTGAGCTGGATCTGACTCGCTTTGGCCTGCTCCCCCGCATCAGTCCTTCACAGTCGGCGGTGTGAAGTTGATGCGAGCATGGTATGCCGTCGCCACTTCACAATTGTCGTTTGGAGGCCCCAGCAAGCGACGTTGATCAACCTGGATAAGGAAGTAATAACAAATGTGTTTAGGGCTGAACAATGCATAAGAGTAACCTAGCAGCCTGTGGACACTAGATCAACCAGGTTCAACTCCACCAGCAATGGCGTTCGCCGTGGGCCCAGCAAAATCAACCTGCGAATATATCTTGGCGACCGCGCTGGTGGCCGTATGCCTGGTAAAAGCTGCGGGTGAGCTGCTGCCACGATGGCCTGGCCCAGCTTGCCTCGTTGTATGAGGATGCTGTGAAAACACGACCAGTGCAACGCCAGCTTGCGTCTCCTCAAGGCGGCGTGCTCACCAGAAGTTTTCTCCGCCCCAGCTGCCGCCACTCCCGGCGAGAACACGGCTGGCGCCTCGGGTGCCGCAGCTGCGCCCGCCACTGCCACGTGGTGGCAGCCCAGCCGCAACGAGAAGTTCCAGTACCAGCTGTCAGTCGCGCTGGACCCCGACAAGCACTTCATCCCTGGCGTCCAGGTCCGTAATCAGCCGCCCCGAGGGCCGCCATGTGACCGCCCAGACTTTGCTGCTGGCCCGCGCCCGGCGCCTCATACCATGTGGGCCGTTCACCTGCCAGCCGGCCGCCGTGATGCAACTTCGCCTCACGACGCCCGCTCCCCATGCGCGTCACCCTCCCTCGGCCCCGCCCCGTGCCCCGTCCCCAAGGTCTACATTGTTGATGCGTTCGACACGCCCGCGGACGCTGTCGCCGCGCTCAAAGCCAAAGGGGACGCGTCCGCGCCCGTCGTGCCGGTCTGCTATATCAGGTACTGACGTGAAAGATCGCTGGGCGGCGCGCCGCCCGACAGGCAGCAGCCGCCCCGCGCTGCAGCAAAGGCACGGCGCGACACCGCCGCCTGGCACACCCTTTTCGTTGCACCCACCGGCGGGGCCGACGCCGCTTTGCAGCGGGCGCGCCGCCCCGCCGCCGCGCCGCGGCCCCCCGCACAACCACATGCGCGCCGCTCTCACCGGCGCCGCCCCTTGTCGCCGCCGCCATCTCGTCACCACATCACCACATCACCGCGCCGTCAGCGCGGGCACGTGGGAAGACTGGCGGCCAGACGCGGGAGATTTTGCCGACTCTGATAAGGGCGCCGCCCTCGGCAACTGGCCGGGGGAGTACTACGCCAACCTCCGCTCCGACAACGTCAGGGCCATCATGCGCAGGGTAGGGGGGGGGGGGGCGGCGGATGCGGGGCGGATTGGGAAGCGTGTGAGGGCGCGTAGCGAGGACGTATGGGAAACGCGCGTCTCAAGGTGGACGTCGCCCGCGGTTGCTGCCCTGAGCACTGGCACCCCTGTATGCGTCATTTGACTTCAGCGACCCGCGCGCGGCGCCCTCCCCGCCGCGTGAACCTGGCGCAGCCTGACACCCCCTCCTCCTTCCCACCCGTGTCCACCGCACCTCAACCCCCACTGGCCGCTCCCGTCACAAAACACACACACACACACACACACACACGCACGCACGCACTCACACACACACACACCCGCACATGCGCATCCACACACACACACACACACGCACACACACACAC